CTCAGTGTATCATACAGCATGTCCTGATTTTCACTCACAGCAAAACCTTGCTATGCTTTAAGCCAAGCCTGCAGCTATCATCCTTGCTCTTGCTTGGCTGAAGCCAGTGAGGTTTGCTCCTGTCTTTGACAGGACAAGAAGCAGACCCTTTAGTATAACAGGAATTTCCCTCAGATCCACATGATGAATACTTTGCTCTGAGCAAGACCAACCTGTAGTATACTGAAGCCAAATGACCTTTTCAAATACTGTGTGTGCTCCTTGTAATGTCTTAGGTGCTCAGTTTTTAACCTACCCATAACAGCCCCAAATGCCCGGAGGAGCTGATTGCCTTAGTTGCATACATTTCCTGCAGCTGAGATTTTGGGACTCCGCTGCTATTCATTTGCAGATCTCTAGAGTTTACTGTGTGTTCTATCATCCTGGGTATGCTGGACAAGTTAGAGTAGGGTTGGGGCCCATCCCTCTGGTAACCAACTAACAATCCTCTGTGCCTTCTTTTCCCCATGGAAATATCAAGGATAATCTGCCTTCTAGTAGCTTGTTCACTTGATGGGGTCTCAGATTTTGGGTATGAGTTTCATATGCCTTCTGCCTGTTTAGTTAGCTGAAAGAAAAAGGCAACCAAAACTAAAGCAAACATATCCTCAATTTCTTATTTAAAATGTCTCTCCTCTGTCCTTTCTGACCCTTTCCACTGCTTCCCATAGTCCAGGATAAAATCCAGTCTTCAAAATGCCTTTGTTTTGTCAACATCAAGGTATAGCTGAGAATAGCTCCAGGGTTTGTACAGTTCTCCCACATTACTACAGCACTCCTCCAAACTCAACTCCAGTGTGACTCATAGGCCTGAGTTTTGCTTAGGAACTAAATCCGTTTAGCTTCCTTGAAAGCTTCTGGGAGAAGATGTGACAGTGATGCTGCCTGGTAGGATAGGATTTGAGACGGTAGCACCAAAAAATGCATGGTATTAGGTAGGAGCGAAAACATCCGTGACTGTGGATTCAGTGGCTCAGGTGCCTGTTAAAGAGAGCCTGGGTGACTTTGCCCTTTCTTCCATCTCTTTGTGTTCTTATAGGTTATGTGTTTGAGCAAAGCATTCAGCTTTTCATATACTTTACCAGGGCTGTTACTCTACTTATCTGGGCTATGTCCTCATCTTAATTTGTCTCTTCATGTACAGTTGAATTAATACAGCTCAACATTGAATAGTCACTCTAGTCATAACTCTGAAGTGGATTTATTGAGATAGTATACATTATATGGAAAAGTCTAATCAAAAAAAGGAAGGAATAGGCTAGGTTCCTGGAAATTAAGCTTTCAATATAATTGTTAACCTGTATCATACCTATGAGGTGAATGATGGCTGCCATTGTTTTATGCTTATACACAGTGGCTTGCCCGTGCTGTCTTGAAGAAGACAGTAATGTAAACATACATACATGTGTGTTTCCTTGTGCCTGTGTTTTACTTCTGAGCTGTGTGCTGTGATCATCCAGTTCAGATAAGTCTTTAGAGTGTATATTGAGGCTGGCAGGCACTGTGGCTAACTGAGTAAGTTATGGCCATCCTGAGGTCTGTATGTTATCAGTGGGAAGGCAGAAGCGGACAGGTTACTTCCCTTCATGTCCCCCTGCCAAAACACAAGGTGAGACAGATTGCCTTCCCCTTGGGTCTGAGATCAGGCTGCCAGATTTCTTTCTGTTGGAAGGTGAAAGTGTATTGGTAACTTAGATCCCTTCCTGCTGCTGGAAGGAGAGCTTGACCGGGAGCACCAGCACCATGAACCTGCTGGGTAAGTTTGCAGCCAGCCAGCGAGGAGGCAGACAGGCAGTGGACAGTGTGATGGTTTACAAACCAGGCCACAAGCAGTGTACTACAAAAGGCCCCAGATCCAGTATTTTCACACTGATGATTGTTTGTTTAAGGATTTTTTTTTATATAAATAAAACACAGTGTAATTAAAACCAAAATAAAGCAAACTAAATCAAACCAGTTCTGTAACAGAGCTCATGGGCTCTGTAGTTAATGCCCTTAAAGTAACCCAGTAATAAATGAAAAAGTCTCCTACTGCCCAAAGACAACCAGTTAACTTCCTTTTATGAAACTATAGGTCTTTTTATTAGGCTACAAAACTGTTTCAGACAAATGGAAACCAAATGTGTAAAAAATGTGTTTTTCTTTAAACCAAACCAGCGTAAGCCACAGGGCTGTTCACATGAAGCTCTGCCTCAGTCTCTCCTGCAGGCTTGTGCTTTTGAGAGTGAATACAGGGCTCATCTATTGAGCAGAGCTCTGCAGCTGCTGCTAGATAGAGGATCTATACAGTGACTGTAACAGAGATATTAAGCAGCCATTCAGGATGGGACTATTCAGAGTAGCGAACCCCAAGACATGCAAAGCATTATGCAATCATATTGGCACATGTTGTGTTCTCCAGCCCAAAAGAGTTGCTATTGTGGAGGCAGACTATTTTAATCTTCACATGCAAAAGCTTTTGACGTGTACTGCACCAATGCCCTGCCTTGTAATACTGTTCATTCTAGTGCTAAACAGATGTGATACCAAACCAGCCCCACTATAAATCAGTGCATCTCCTATTGAGATCAATAAGAACTGCACTTGCTTGCACCAGGGCTGAATTTTTGCCTGTAAATTACAAACAGTTCCGCTGTGGATGGAAAATATATTAACCTCCTGTGAACATAAAATTCGGTGTGTCATCTGTAGGGTTTTGCTTTTCAGTGATTACTTCCTAACTGGAGAACAACTATATTTTGAGTGGGAAATGTTTTAGCAACAGATCTTTGTGTACTGCCTGAACATGCTCATGTCTTGGCCTCAGTGAAAACAATTCGTGTGTAATGATCACGGTCTGGGCACTTGGGTCTTGAGTTCTGATAAACTCCTTGTAAAGTTTAAAGGCCAGGCTGTTTTGGTCAAGAGAGCAGTAAATGAGAATGCAGTAAGACATATTATTACATGGAGCAAACCTTAATAAGCAAAAAAGTATGTCCAGCTCTGGGGCCCACAACACAAGAGGGACGTGGAGCTGTTGGAGTGAGTCCAGAGGAGGCCACAGAGATGCTGCGAGGGCTGGAGCAGCTCTGCTCTGGAGCCAGGCTGAGAGAGCTGGGCTGGGTCAGCCTGGAGAAGAGAAGGCTCCTTAAGGGGAGAACTTAGAACAGTCTTCCATTACCCAAAGGGGCCAACAAAAAATCTGGAGAGGGGCTTTGAACAAGGGCCTTAGGGACAGGACAAGGGGGAATGGCTTTAACCTGACAGAGGGGAGACTGAGATGAGCTCTTAGTCAGAAGCTCTTCCCTGTGAGGGTGCTGAGGCGCTGGCACAGGGTGCCCAGAGAAGCTGTGGCTGCTCCATCCCTGGCAGTGTTCAAGGCCAGGTTGGATGGGGCTTGGAGCAACATGCTCTAGTGGAAGGTGTCCCTGCCCATGGCAGGGACTGGAGCTCTATGAGCTTTAAGGTCCCTTCCAAGCCAAACCATTCTATGGTTCTATGAAAATATATGGCTTGTTTTATTTCATGTATTGGTGAGTCTTGACAGGTGAGTGACAGAGTCTTCCCATTAAGTACTACCTCGTTTGGCTCGTATTTCAGTCGAAGGTTACATCCCTACTCTTATATTTGCCTTACCATCAGGTAATACCTGATGCCATGGCACACTAAGACCCATAGGTTGTTGTACGCCCCTGTGAAATGAAAGAGAATCAGGCTCTTGAATGTTCTTGATGCCTTTGTGTCACACTGGATTTAGGAACTGGCATGTGTTAAGTTACCAGCTTTTACATATCTGTCTATGCCACTGCTGCCTGTGCAATTTTTGCTCCCTATGGGCTCCATAGGGAGAGAGCTCTTGGCAGGTGAATAGCCAAATGGGTCTAGGACATGGCAATTCCAGAGGAAAACATCTTGTTCATTACAGATGTTGGGTAAGAGTCACACAGCACGTGAAAAGTCCACAGAAACTTTTCGGGTTTTCTTGGGTCCCCTTATCCCATATTTACACTCACCTTATATGTATGTATAAATAAGGTTTATGGAGTCCATGGCAAAAGTAAGTTAATGCACAGAAGATAACGTACTTCGTCTTAAAAATGAAAGGAATTAGAGAACATGATACTGCATTTGAGCAAAGCACGCTGTGATCTTGTAGTTAAATTGTGTAGAACAGCAAATATCTGTCAGAGGTTGCACACAGATCCTTTATTTCAAATGTCTTCTGAATGTTAAGTGTTTAATTGCGGATTCTCTCAAGGCATTTGCTTCTTAAAGGAGTAGCGATTATATATTCCTCCTAGTTTTCTATGGAATGATGTATGACATTTGGTCAAATGCATTGTGCTCTCAGGATAAATTATAAAGCACTTAAATGTATTTCATCACACATTATACTTCACCTTCAGGCAAAAATGTGTTTTGTCAAAATATTGATTTGTATTATCAGGGCACGTTGTATAAAATCCAAGAGTGAATTTCATTTTAGGGAACTGTGCAATTTGTCTAACCATTCCAAGGAAAAGGACATCAAATACATATGAGCAATTGTGTTGGCGAAATGAATTTTAATCATGTTTATCATCCTTCCAGATACACTGTACAATGGCATTTGATAAATTTCACTCCCTAGACCCTAGTCTGATGGCTGATGAGATAGGAATGTTACAATGTCCCAGTGGCATCGAGCTGGATTCCTGCTCTTAATAGGGTGCTGATAATACAGACACTGGTAATTTATCTGTTACTTAAGAAAAAATTAAATCTGATTCCATGAAAGGAGGAAAACCAAACAAATGAATACAGGTGAGAATTAATGTTGCCATAGCCTCTGCTATATAATTGGTGTCTAGAGGTTTTAAGGACTAAATGGAAATATTTGAGGGATTGTCTTTTTCTCTCAATCTTGTGGTTAAAACTTGAGAGTCATGAAACATAGAGTCTCTGTTGTTGTTTTTTTTCCTTTTTATTTAACTTGCCTACAGATGTTCTACATGACCTTGAGAGAGCTGGATAGGGCTGATTCTGCACTGGAAGTCAATGGACCATATTCTACAAAGAGATGAGGACTGAAACTGCATCCTTCCTGTGCCTCCTGTCTCTTCACTTGTAACAAGAGGCTAACAGCATGCTCCTTCCTCCTCGGGGTGCAGCAAAGCTAAATCACATGGTATTTGCAACGATGCTACTATCAGGAACTGTGGGCTACTTCTGCTTGAATCTGTGGAGACCCCTAAGAGCAAAGTCTTTGCTCTGCTTGTGGATTACCCAGCAGAGGGCAACATCACTCTCGCGCATGAAAACTGCATCCCCTGCTTGAGCCAAAACCTGCCAAACGCAAGAGGAATCTTTTCCTTGGCCTTTATAGCTCTTTATAAATGCAGATCTTTACTGTTTCTCAATATTAGCCGTGCAATGAAACAGCAGTGTGTGAGCACTCCCATGGCACTGTTAGCGGCTAGCCTTAGAAAAACAAAGCTTCAAAACCTTCCAGCGCTGGCCAGAAACACAATAGTCATTTTTATTTTGTTAGTGGTTGATACAGTGCTAATATCCATAACAGCAGTAACTGTGTGGTGCTTTGAGTGCTGTATGGCTTTGGTTAACTTCTGTCATTCTTATCTATTTATTTCATAGTTGATCTAAGGGTGTCTGAGGTGCATGTAGCAGGACCTGGAAAAGAAAGAGACCAGGTGGATCCTGACCTCATGGAAGTCAATGGCAGCAATTTTCTTTCATTTTCATGGGATCAGAACTGCACCTGATCTTTCCCTTGTAGCTCATGGCTGTCAAGGTCCTTCTGGACGGACCCATATTGTGGTGCTTAAGCTCTTGCCCAGCTCTTATGGATCGACCCTGGAACTCGCTGATGACTTTGCCTCATCTGAGGCTGTTGATGGGATTTATTGCTATGACCACCTGGCTCTGCCCCATGATCAGACCCTGCAGGACTGCACCCTGTCAGTGAAGGCACAGCTTGTGCTGGGTCACCTGTGGGTCATGGCACAGCCTTGCTCCTGCTGCTCCCTGACACTGCTCCTTGCAGAGACTGAATTTATGCCCTGTGAGAAATCCCCAAGGAGAAATTCAGATCAAACCATTTAGAGTGATCGAAGTGAACAAGGGGGTTACAATAAATCTTTGCAGGATCCCAGGTCTCTAATGTCAAAACGTGCAATCCTGGAAACAGAAACAGTTGTATGCAGCTCAACTGAGTGGTAATGAAGCTCTTGCATCCACAGGAAGCTGCCCTGTTAGACATCCAGATCTACTAAAGAAAAGGCTAGTCCTCAGCCTTGTGCAGAACAACTTAAAAAGTTAGCACTTGAGGTCAAAAGAATAAGAATTGAAACCAAAAATATCCAGACGATCCCACTTCCCTTTATAGTGCTTGGAATTTAGGAAATCAAGTGGATTGCAAGCTAACTTCATGATTTATTGCAGTTTATTTCCTGATGCTTGAATGCCTGTGACTACCCAAACATGGGAGATGACAGGTAGTGATATTTTTTGTTCACTGTGAGGCAAAAGGGGCAAACTTCAGTGGGTTTTCTATTGAGCTTCATGTATCCACACAATGAACGCGTAGGAACACTGGTATTTAAATCTGAAATCCTGGTGGGGAAGCAGCTCTCCCCAGAGTACTTATCTGTAGACTAACAATTTCTTCACATTTTATATTCTCTTTCTTTTTTTTTTCTCATTTATTCTTTAAGAAGTACAATCCTCAGAATGACTGGGAATTTCTTCGAGATGTTGTTAATACCAGATGCAAATACACATGTAAAAACTCAGGATTGAGTCGTTGATATTTCCTTTGTGAGCCTGTGGGTCCCATATCCAATAGGTGTCAGGGACAGACTTTCTGGAATTCACAGAATCATAGAATCAACCAAGTTAGAAAACAACGTTAAGATCATCAAATCCAATCATTCTCCTAGCACAGCTAAACCACTAAACCATGTTACTATGGGCCTTGTCTACATGGTGTGTGAACTCTTCCAGGGATGGTGACTCCAACACTGCTCTGGGCAGCCTGTTCCAATGCCTGAGCAACCTTTGGGGAAGGAATTGTTCCTCATCTCCATCTAAACCTCCCCTGGTGCAGCTTGAGGCCATTTCCTCTTGTCCTGTCACTTGTTCCTTGGGAGCAGAGCCCAGCCCCCTCCTGCCTCCATCCTCCTGTCAGGCACTTGTAGAGAGGCATAAGGTCACCCCTGAGCCTTCTCTTCTCCAAACTCTGAAGACCCAGAGTTCCCTCAGCCATTCTTCATCACACTTGTGCTCCAGGCCCTTCACTAGCTCCATTGCACTCTCTGGACCCACTCCAACAAGTGTGTTTCTGGATGATCCCTGCAGCACCTTTGTTTTTTGAGCTGAAGTGGAAGAAGTGCCATTGTTTAGTACCTAGTTGCAGGGAGAAACCTGTCTAGCTCCAAATGGGAACTGCTTCTTTTAACAGGCACACTGAAATGGAGGGGATATGAAATGCCAAGACTTGTCTGTTTGGAGTAAATAATGCTCCTTCCAGCTTTGATAGCTGTAAGGAGGCAACATGTTTGTGTGGAATGTGTACCACTCTGTAGTGAAAATGTGGAATTGTTCTCACACTGAGATTTGGAGTGAAGAAGTATAACAAGGTTGAAATTCCCCACTGGCACAATTCTGAGCATGCTGGGATCTACCAGTCCAGGTCCAGGAGCAGAATTTGCCCTGTGAGGTAGAGGGTATGCTAGCACAGTACAGTGTACTTCAGCATCAGGAGCATGCAGGAAGCCCCACCGTAGTTACTGAGCCCAGATGAGTGGAACAGCCTGTGTTGGATCTTGGGGTAATATGGCCATGCACTTGTGGAAGAAGCTGTGAGCACAGACTAGCTCGTGCGAGGACCACGCTGTATCCTCTTGATGTGCCTGTGTGAATAACAAGCAGGGCTTCTAAGAAGAGGTATTTTCTTTCTTCCCCTTAGTAGAAATTCTCCAAGGTTGTGCTAATACAGTTCTTTGGTTTTATTTAGATGGGTGGCTTTGAAAGAAAAAGAGTCTTTTTAGCAAGGTGGTTTTATTTATTGCTATTCTTTGGGTTGTTCCTGTAGATCCCCTTTGAGACAGGCAGATCTGTTGTGCTCTATGCTCAGTGGCCAAAAAGGAGAGTCACTCTTGGGAGCAACCCTTGTGTAACCTCTGCGACACATGGACCAAAGCCAGCAAAAACTTGGGGTTAGGGAAGGGAGCCGTGGACAAAGGTAACAAAATAACTGCAGTTTAGTAAGATGACAAAGTTGAGACACCACAATTGATGGATGAAATGGGAATGCTTCTTCCTCAAAACACGTGCTGTGGTTCCTACTGCTCTATTTCTCTTACCACCTTCCTCCCCAGTTCTTATAGCAGCTGAGACTTGGTCAGAGAAGACACCCTCAATGGAACACTGCCTTTCATTGCTGTTTTGTCTCTTTACTGTGCCCTGTTATCCTGTTCTCATGTAGTAGTAGCACACAAGATGCTGATTCTGGAATGACTTGACGGAGGCTGCCCTGTCTGTTTTACCAGTAAACTATCACTGATGAGCAAGGGACTAAAGTGATTGCATTGATCAAGCTGCACTAACACTGCCAGTTGATAGCATAAATCAGTAGGTTTTATTTGTCTGGTTATCAGATTCACATGTTTCATAGAATCATAGAATGGTTTGGGTTGGAAGAGACCTTAAAGATCATTTAGTTCCAACCCCCTGCTACGGACTTCCTATAATAGGGAAATAGGGTTTCCTATTATAAACTTTCATACGTAGATTGCTGAGCAGCACATGAAATAACTTATTTTAGTCAACTGTCTTGGACCTCTTAAGAGTGTAAGTCTGTCAAGAACAGACTGAAAGCCCTTGATTTCAAACAAAAGCGCCTTCAGAGTAAGGTCTCTAGCCCTCACAGAGTGGATTAATTCATGGAAGTGTTTTTTAATGAAGGTGCTATTTTACAGGAAGGGAAGTATATTTTTTCCAGTAATTTAATGATCAAGATGTTTTTAGAGAAAATGAGCCCTTGCCACTACTAATGGGTAAGGCAGCTGAGATTCCTCTATGACCTAAATTAATATCTAGCTTTTCAAAGGCTTATGTCAGTAACAGTGTGCAAAGCCTTTCTTTGACCTGTAGAAGGATTGGACTAAGTTGTTTGGGCCTGACAGACTGTGGAGAAGCTGTAAATATGTTGGTGGTGAACAAACCCCATAATTACTCATAATAAGAGGAACTGTTCTGCTTCTGAACTTGTTGCTATCAAAACCCCATATGGTATGGATGCGACATGCTACTAAGGCTCTCTATCAATCTTTTGGATGGTGGATGTCTATAAGACATCTGTAAAAATAGAGAGGCTTTCTGGTGATGACATCCTGAACACAATCCAGCACAGCACCAGCCATAAGACTGCAGGTAACTCACAATCTTAGCTCTTCCCCTTCTTCTTGCCTTTCTGTGTTTTACTGTAGAACATGCACATATTGGCAGTGAAATAATTTTATACTCTTTTCATGTTTTGATTAGTATGGCTTAAACCCATGATTTTGGGCTCTCTTCTTTTTTGTTACCATTGCTGTTCAGTTGAATGGGTCAGTCTGTCCAGAGGAAGTACAATACTCTTCCTGTTTCATTAAATCCTCAGCCTTCAGCTCCTTTCCAGTTTGTAGTAACTTCATGCATTTCTGCCTTCTGTTGTCTCTGCTTGCAGTTCCAAAATGGTTTCCAAGAAGATCAGATGGATATTGCTGCTCTTTATTGTCTGTCCAACTCTCCTAACATTGTCTATTGTCTGAAGCACATAGAAGTTTCATCTAGAGGAAAGTGCCAGAATGCATATTGTCAGAGACATTGTTCCAGTACTCAGAAATAGACTCTAATATGCCATTCAAGACTGCTATAGCATAAAGCTTGGGGCAGAGATAAAGAGATCCTCATCTAAGACACTTGGAGGAGAAGAAAGAAAGAAACAAACTTAGGGGGTGAAAAAAGAAGTGGCAGATCCTGAGGCAGCTTGAAAAGTATTTAAGATGGAGACAGATTTTATCAGTGTGGTAAAATAAGTCAGTGCTGAAATGAATCTGTGAAGAAGCAAATAATTTATTGTAACACTTATTAGGCTTTTAATGAATACTGAGTAAAAATACGTGGGGTTTCTTTCAAATTGTCTAAAAAGATTCAAAGACGTGGATGCAAAGTCCACAGAGCTAGGCAATGTTTCCAACAGAGTGCCAGTTAGATTAATTATGAGATTGTTGATGCTGTTTTGCAACTAACATACTTCCGCAGTTCCTGTGATCAGATATGTAAATCGTTTATAACACATGGATGCAATTTACAGTTTATTGCTATGTTTGATTGTCAGTCTTTAATTCTACCTCACATTAAAGCCATCTCAAGCAACTGGCAACACTGAAGTTTTCCCTGATAGGAGGAACAGTTTATGCAGGCATTAGATGTTTCTGCATCTAAGACTGGAGTTTCTCAAATACATATGGTGTTACTGGGGTAAATCCCTGGATCTTAAGAACCCTGGGTTTGGGGTGTGTTTGCAGCTGAAATTCTGTTGTGCACATATATGGTCTGAATGTTTCTTGTATGTTTTCAGGATATTTCCTATTTGCTGCACAAAACTTCTGTACTGTAAGCCCTGTTAAAAATGTGGTAGTGAAGATACCCAATTCAATCCATTTAATCAAAGGACTTCACATTCAGCAAAGTACAGCTCTTCTAATTCTGTTTCTTTCTATTTATTGTTCAAATAAGATTTTATTATTTTCTATTTACTACTGAACAAATAAATGATAGCAATTTAGTTACTATTGCATTTATTTATTGAATTTATTTCTCTCTAGGATTCCTGTCATAATGTCTGCTTAAGCGTGTCCTGCCATTTCATACCTGACAGGAAGGTAACGTTTAATGCAGAGTGAAACTGGCAAAGCTCCTCTGTAAAAGTTCTTTATTCGACAGTGGGCATGTTGTGTGTTTCCAGACACTTCACACTTCATAGCCATTGAGAAATGCAGCTTTTTGGCAGTAGAATGGGTAAAAGGTCCATAAATGTGGAACATGAGTGTGTCTGAATGCTGCTGGGCTCCTTACCTCGTTATATTACTTCACACTTGGTGTACTGCATATGGCCATGACCACATAGCAGCGCTGCAGGGTGCACGGAGCAGAGCAGACGCTGTCCCCTTTGCGTAAGGAGCATTGCTGTACTGTGAAGGAAGTGGAGAGTGGGGACCTTCCTTTTACTCAGCCCCTTTGTGGCTCCTTTCCCCACCAGCACCCTGTGCCCATGTAGTGGGGCCAAGTGGTGCTGAATCCACAGTGCAGCTGAACTCTCCTCTCTGTAAGCTGAGAGACCCCTGTGCCTGACACAAAGGCACGTCCTTTCATTTCCAGGTGATTTTTCCCATTAAAACAGGATGAAGCTGTGATAGGGATGATAAGGGGAGACCTTGTAGTGGTTTTCCAATATCTAAAGGGAGCCTACAAGAAATCTGGAGGGGGACTTTTTACAGGGGCATGTATTGACAGGACAAGGGGGACGGAGGGGAGACAAGGAAAAGAATGGAGACCTGGCATGGCATAAGACCTGAGCTTAACCCCTCAACTTGGTGGAGACTGATGTGCAGGCAGGCCGGTGGATGGATACAGATACGGTATGTGCCTTACCTGTGAAAGACTGTTTTGTTCTCCAGGACTTTTCCTGAAGGATTTTCTTTGCCAGCAGGAGAGATCAGCTCAGAGTTACACAAAGTTGAGGGGC